AAAGAAATATGCGTCTGCTCGCTAAACTTGAAGTAACCGAACATTTCTGACTCAGGGGCTGGATGACCACTTCTTATTTTATGGTCTTAAAAATTGAAGGTAATTGAGCTCAAATATTCTACAGAAAAAAAAAATTAAAACAAAAAATAAAACGTCTATGTTAATGAATTTCATAGAATTAGAAGCTTTACGTTAATGATGGTTGTCTTTTTGTGTTATAGCACAAGGTGCTCTTGGTGGTCGGAGAGAAGAAAATCTGCATATGCGCTCTGTTTAACAACTGCGTTAAGGTTGAAAGTAACACTAAAAAATAATCATGTCTCCTCTACCGAAAAATATAAATCCTCTACCAGGAAGAGGTACAATGGAACAGGGCGATCGGCTTCAGACTAAAGCCGAATTTAATCATCCGATTGTTTTATTTTTGTTTTAGAAATACAATGAGCCCATGCGGCTTGGATAATATGAATGTGACGCAAATATGCTTGAAAAAATTTCATTTTCTTTGTGTCTGTAACTTGGTAAAAACATGGCTCTAAACCGCGCGTGGTTTATCGTCTGGCCCGTGCACATGACGGTGGTAATCTAGAGGTTTCTTTTAACCTTCATTTAGTGTTTCTTGTATGTGGGCTGAACTGACTTATTTAATATGTTAATTGACTGTTAAGGCACCTCTTCGAGTTTATTGCAAAAGGAAATGAACTTTTTTTTGAGGAGCAAAAGGGAGACTTAAGTCGGTGATTATTTGGATCAATCGTGATTTCCTCGTAGATTTGCCTTGGAAATAACAGATTCAAGACCTTTGGCCATTGCCGCGTTTGAAAGTAAGAATGAGGAGCTGAAAAATAGAGGCATGGTAACGTTATCACTTAGGATGAAATGTGAATTCAATGGCGACTTTTTTACACTTCCAAATTGTTTTGACGGGCGGTTAAAGCTTTGAACAACGTATTTTTGCATGTAAATTTGAAAAACACTTAGCTTTAAACTCTATCGTATGCAAATGTTCAGGAAGGAGATTAAAAATAAAGAAAACGTCTGTCATTTTCATGTCCAACGTAATAACAATGTAAAAAAACAAACTAAATTTGTTTGTCAAATACTACGATAAGTTTTCATATTGATTTTGAATTCTTGAGTGCACAAAAGTAATATTTCACTAGTAGTTAACATTACAAAGGTAAAGATATAAAACCAAATTGTAAATATTAAACCGCGAATTTAAAAATTGTCCAACAAGCAAATAGAATTGGGAATAACAAGTTTCCTTTTTCTTCGCATTTACCGTATCAATCTGGTTTGAATAGCAACTTCCCTTTTTTCGTATGTTTTTTTAGTTTTCGAACCACTGTCAGTATCTAAACAACTGCACATCTACCCCTCTCCCCTAATCCAACAACAGTCAAGTCATAACAAGTTTGGGTTAATTTTGCGTCAGGAGATGGGTAGGTGCGCAGTTGTTTGCTCAGACACTGACATAGATCCTTTCCTTCATCCGCGGGACACACGAAACTGACTGGGAAGGCCTCAGTCTAGGTGTTTCGCCATGTTATATTTGTAAGTGCCCGTATAGCACGAGTTTTTGTTCATTGTTTGATTTGGTTAATAATCTTTAAAGTCACACTAGGTGGCTAGTCACGCGCTCTTAACTGTAATTCAATATAAGAAAAGAAATTAGTAAAGGAAAGGAAGGAGAAGTTCAAGCGATATCAACTCTTGCCAGATTCGGCAATAATGTAAGTTTGATTTACATGAAGCATTTCTTAATCTATTTACGTGTCCCTAATTTCTTAAAGAAATTTTTGGTTTTACGGTATAATACAATAATAAAGAAGGAGGCGTTCCCAAATTATTATAAACATTCATCATTGTTTCTTCAATGAATCCTATTTGTAAATGTGTTACATTTTTCTCCCTTTTCTTTTATTCCCATAATACATTTCACAAACATGCGCAGCTAATCAACAGCTGTGAAATTTAAATATTTCCCTGTTATTCATTATGTACAGAGATGTGGTCTTTTTGGAGAATACTGTATTCCGTTTCACATGGAAAACTGACGGACATTTTAATCTGAAATTTAACGAGGAATCTCGAACCGGCATTTAAATATTCTTTGAATCTTTAGTTATGTCATAGAGCTACACAAGTTAGCAAGTGAACCATATATTTTGTCCCAGTAGCATCATAGAAGTAAAGGTGACTAGGCAGAAATTTCTGTGTTTTCTGAATGACGCAGACCAGTCAGTATCTGAAAAACTGCACACTTGTCCTTACCCAAACTGAACGTTAACCCTAATTTATTTTGTTGGGTTGGGGAACGAGTAGTTACGCATTGCTCAGATGCTGACATCTATACGATCACCTGCTTAGTGTGGTTTTAGTAAGAAGCCTATCTAAATAGAACTCTTACGGTCAATATTAAGGGATTTCGCGAACAGATGAAAGATTAACTATTATCTGCAGCAGATAAGCCATGCTTCATTAGCTATATTTATTCATTACTTGCGGTAACTTCGTTTCACTTTGACAGGAGACGCAAACGAAACATTGCCTCTTCGCACGATCAGTCGTAAGCCGTTTGGATAAACGCCAATCGAGATAATGATCGTAAAAGGCATTTGAAGTTTCAAAATGGAGGTGGATTAGCGAAACACGTCAACTATCGTCTTTGAAACAGCTGTATTCGCCTTGGTGATGGTCCTTTCACTTTTTGGAAACTTCATGGTCTGCTACGCTGTTGTAGAAGCCTAAACCTTAGTCGCCCTAGCAACTACTAGATTATTTCCATGGCACTGACCGATATTTTCCAAGGTCTGTTGATCATGCCGTTATCTGTTGGTTTATTAGCCACTGGGAAATGGCCGTTTGGATCGCATTTGTGTCATTTCGAAGCCATCACAAAAATATCCCTGGCAAAAGTTTCAACGTTTATCATGGGTCTGATGGCGTTGAACAAATATTACAAGATAGTGAAGCCAGCCAAATACCCAAGTCTTTTCACCGAGAAGTTTATCATTGCTTCAGCATCGGTTGCGTGGCTGATACCCATTATATTTTTCCTCCTTGGTGTCTTTGCTTTCGATTTCGGCGTGAAACCAATCCTGAACGTCGCCACCTGTGTCATAGAATTAAAACTGTTAGCTCTGCCAGTCTATATGATTTTAGCATATTTCCCTTATATTATTATCGCGTTCTGTTACTGGAAAATTTACCAAGTTGTAAAGATGCACAATGCAAATGTATCACGGAAGAGTGCCAATGTGGAGCATGTTAACATCAGCAAAAATTTGCTTGTAACCATCGTGGGCTTTACAATTGTTTGGGTACCTGCGCACGCGATGTTTATTGTGTCAATTCTAGCATCAATTCCCCGCCAGCTTGAACTTCTGGTGACACTTTCAGTGTTTACGTCTAGTGTGTAAATTCTTTCATTGATGGTTTTATGAACCGCGCTTTAAAAGCCGAATTAAAAAAGATACTGGTACCAAAAAATACTCACTCGATTGCCGCAGAACCTAGCGGCCAACATTAGGCACGAGAGAAAGAAAGGTTTCTTAAGTTCATTAGCTTTTTACTGTCGTATATTCATTAATTTTAATGCAATGTTTAGTGGATGAAAAAATTTTTTAATTCATGTCAGCCTTTTGGTCGATTCAGCAGAGAATCTGGGGCAACATTTATCAATAATAAAATGTGCAAATAATGGATCTGGATTTGATGAAAAATGTCCGTGATACTAAGTATCTTTTGACTTCAGAGCCTTTAACCGGTACAATGCATTGAAATTAAAACATTCAGCTTTAATGCGCGGCAGAGATGTTTCTACTTTTGGTTAATTTCAATTGCTCTTTGACAATAATTTCCTATTAGCTAATGGTCATCATGACCTTTTGTTTTGAATGTTTTATTCTGCATATACCAAGACGTGGAAGTGATAAAAAATACGGTACTCAAGAGTTTTCTTGTTTCCAGGTACGCGCCTTTTCCTAAGTATATAAAAACTTCACGTTTCTATATTTCATATCTTGTCATTTTTTGATAATTTTTTTCAGCTTTAGCCTAAATAATTAGGTTTTGTTTAAACGTTAATTTGTAGTGCGCTATTGAAAAATTTATATTTATGATTGCAGAGTGAAAGTCCACAAATTACTACAAACATTATTTCATCCGTTGTTCGAATCCGATCTTTAACTGTGTCATATTTTTCAGCCTTTTATCTC